ATGGAAAACACCTGATGCCAAATGAAAAAGAGGAATGATTGCGAGGTATCTCTTGTTCGGTTCATTGATTTTAATATTTATTGGAGGCTTGTACAATTATTCGCTGATGCACTATGCCGGCCGGTCGGCAACGATGAAAGCTTTCTCTCTGGTGGGTGGAGTTGCAATGTTTGCTTGATTTGATGAAGCTTTCAATGTTTGTACCCAAAGTTAGCAGCATGTACAAAACACTAATCAATACTGGATCGTAGAAATTCAGCTAAAGAACCATGCAATAATTGAACGATGGTTTCATCATTCTTGCAGTTGATGATTGCCTGTATTAATGATGTATTGTTACCGTTATCGGGAACACAAAAAATCGTCAATTTCATCGATTTCCACAAATTATGTTAGTAAATATGGGGGAAGGGTGTCTAAAAATGGAGGGAGGGGTTTACATTTTCTTACATAAGAACTAATAGTCAGGCGATACTAATTTGAACTTACTAATTTGTTTGCCTAAAAACCTGAACATTTATTGAATTAGCATATGAAAAAGTCCTCAATTTATCTAAAAATGATTCCAACTTAATATCCAACGTTTTAAATCTCACTAAGATTTTAGGAGGGAGGGTGGTAAAATCTTACTGTGTCTAACAAGGGAGAGGGGGTTTATTAAGCACTCAAAATCCCTTACATAATTTACGGATGACTCAAAAAGGCCTCACTGAGCATATTTGAACCAGGTTGGCAAGTACCTAAAAAAACTGTAAAACCTGGAATTGTCAGGGAATTTAAAAATAACTGGAAAAAACTGGAAATATCAGCGAATTTGTCCATCAATCAGGGAATTCACAAACTATTAGTTCTATTGAGTTGTTGAATTATGTTTCTTAATATATTGATTAATTGTATGTTCACGATCCAAAAAAAAAAGTCTATGATGGTGTATATTACTTTAAATTCAATTGTTAAAAAAGTTCGAAAATTTTCAAAAACTTTAAAGATCTGGGATCTTGGAAATTGCACCCCAGAATTATGAAACATATTCTTACTTAGCCTGTGTATGTAAATGTATTTATAACGATATTCTGAGGCCTCTATTTACAAACCATGAAAACCATTTAAAAATAAATGCAATCAATATTTTACATACAAAATCTCTATTTTTTTAATATAATTATATTTTAATTGAACAGTATTTTTAATAAGCTAAAAAGCTATCAATATTTAACCTGCAAAATCTCAATTTTCAATAATTATTATATTTTAATTAAACAGTTTTTTTTATTGGTTTTCATTTGATGTTTCGACCTTCGAAATCGGCCCAATGGTTCAAAAGGTATGATTTTTTTTTTTTTGAATAAATTTTTGATTTTTTGGACCACTCTAATGACAAAATAAAAGAATACGGGTGAAAAAAAAAACTACAACTTTTTTACGAAATTCTGAGTCGTCTATCTGCAAACCAAGAAAACCGTTCTCAGAATTTCGTAAAAAGTGGTAGTTTTTTCACCCGTATTCTTTTATTTTGTCATTAGAGTGGTCCAAAAAATCAAAAATGTATTTTTTTTCGAAAAATTATACTGAGCCGATTTCAAAGTTTAAAACATCAAATGAAAGCTTATTAAAAAAACTGTTTAATTAAAATATAATAATTATTAAAAATTGAGATTTTGCATGTACAATATTGATAGTTTTTTAGTTTATTAAAAATACTGTTTAATTAAAATATAAGAATATTAAAAAATAGAAATTTTGTATGTAAAATATTGATTGCATTTATTTTTAAATGGTTATGAATACATTTTCATGCATAGGCTAAGAATTTGTTTCATAATTCTGGGGTGCAATTTCCAAGATCCAGATCTTTGAAGTTTTTCGAAAATTTTCGGACTCTCTGAACAATTGGATTTAAAGTTATATACACCATCATTGACTTTTAAAACTTTGGATCATGAACATACAATTAATCAACATATTAAGTTGTATAAAACAAATTACCATGCAATAAATTTTATTTGTGGATTTCCTTTTCTAGAAAAATAATACTGAAAATAATATTTCTTAGGAGTATTTCAAAAGAGTTTTAATGAAATTTTCAAGGTAATTCCAACGAAAATTCCAAGAAAACAGTTCGAGAGGAACATTTCTAAGGTATTCTGAGGAGTATTCCAAGGATATTGCGGTGATAATTTCAGAAAATTAAAATTAGATTTCCAAGGGCATAAGGAGGAGCATTTCAAAGAATTAATGGGGACTCTGAGCAGAACTAACAAGAAATTCCTATTATAATTCCATGATAATTTCATGAGAATACCAAGTGCATGCTGAAGAGAACTTAAAGTGATTTTTTTTAGGAGTATGTTTCAGAAAATTGCTAGAATTATTAATAATATGAGAAGCATTGCAGAGAGTATTCTGCAGAAGATTTTCAAATTTTTTATGGAGGAAATTATACAAAAATTCAATTTTTCCACAATTGGACACAACCCAAGTAGCAATTGTGGTTTTATGAAGGTTCTGTAGACCACAATTTAGACTTATAGCATGCTTTAAAACCTGAGAAACAAAAGCTCAAAATTCAAGGAATGGGAAAAAATGAAATCCTGAGGTTTTGATTTTTAAAGACTTCATGCTAAGAAAATTAAATGATCATGGATTTAGAAAAATGGGGGTGACTTCAGCATAGTGGTTAGCATCCATACCTTTCACGCCATAGTCTCGAGTTCAAATCTCACCACGGGACAAGTCACGAATGACCCAAGAGCGCTAGTGACTAAAAAAATTTAAAAAATAGAAAAATCTGCATGGTTTGAGGTGTTTTATCTTTTCCATAATCCCCCATCTCATTGCGGACATGGATGGGGGATTATGGAGAAGATTAAGGAAAGTGAGAAGTTTTCAAGTTCCAAAAATAGAAAAAAATATATTAATCAAATGGCTGAGACTTCATTCTTCTAATTCTGGGATTTTTCTTATGAATTCCCAGATAATTTAAAGAGGAACTGTCTTTAAATTTTGTTCAAATTTATCTCTAAATTCTTCTGCAATTTTAATTAGAAGTTTCCTTAAAATTCTCTAGAAATTCGGTTAATGAAGCCTTTGGAATTATCCTTGAAATTAGCTTTGAATAATCATCAGATTTTTTTTGGATATGTACGCTCAAAATTCGATTTACTTGGTATTTTTCACTGAATTTGGGATCCTCTTTACAATTGATTTGGAATATTTCCACAGAGCTATTTAAAAAAAAAATATTCTGGACTTACACAAGTAACATGAAGTTAAAGTCTAAAATCACTAAGAGTTCTTTCCAAAACTCACTTTGATGTTTTATAAAAAAACCTTCGTATTTTCCTTAAAAAAAACTGAACCTGTAAACCTGGCTTTAAGGGGAAGTTTACCGCCCCGAGAATATTTTTTTTCCAGCACGTTATTATTTTTCTAAAAAAAATTGGGAAAAATCATTGTAAAAAAAATTATCTCATCATGTAAAAAATTGGACCCTCAGCAAAACCGAAAAGTTGATGTTTTGTTGTTTTTTGAGTCCAACTTTATGCCATGATGACTTATAAAAATTGTTTTTGCTCGTGAATTTACTTTGAAAAATTTGAAAAAAAAATTGATTTTTTTAGATTTTTGACATCTTTTTCCAATATTTTTAGAAAAATCAAAAAATTATTTTTTTTCGGAACGGTGAATTTCTCGTTGTGACTTCACTTCAAAGTTGCTCATCTTGCTTCAATATCACTCAAAAACAAACAAGAGAATTTTTAAAAAACCTAGATGTATGATACAATCCACTGCAATCCACAGACCACTGAATAACATTCGATAAGACACTGATTATACTTTGAAGTCACACACCACACACACGACCATAAATTCTAACTACCTCACACTCATAAACACTCATTATTATTAACCATAGTAATCAATATGTTCATGCACGTTTCTCCTAATCTCTACTATTTATAAAATACGCATATGTTTATACCGAACAGTTACAGGCACCGGTTCCTGGAGTAGGTTCCAGATTTAATGAGTTCCAATCAATGGAAAACCCATGTCAATGTAAATATTTGTAAATAAACCACCTATAACTCTAAACACATACAATCACCTCAAATTGTCTATAAACCATCCAAAGCACCAACTATCTGCATGTACCTATTACCGTATTCCGATTGCATGTCGTCATCAGTTTCCGAATCACCGATCGTGTGAAACCTATCTTCCAAGCACATCTACTGCATGCCAGCACTTCCTGTACATAGCATTCCGCAAACCCTGTGTGGATTCGAAAGTAAGCATCTTTCTTCTCTTATCACCTGTACACATACATTGGCTGAGTTGAACGACCTTCAATCGTACTATTCTTTTCTTTGACTGCCCATATTACAGCTGCCGCTCCCAAGTACCAGATTCTGGAACCCCGGGAAGGCTACATCCCAGTGTACATCCGATACGGTGATGAACCGTTGGCCGATATCAATCCAGCTCTAGCAGCTGCCTTCAATGAACCGGTCCTGCGCATCAGCCGAGCCGAGCTTACCAAGGTTTGAGCCATCATCGCTTGTTTCTCCCATGAATACCCAGGATTCAAATTTTTGATCTCCCAATCTTTCAGTCATTGCAAGCCGACGACGGAGTAGGTGCCAACACCTCGAGCAATTCCACATCCCATTCCCATTCCCATTCCCATTCGGCTTCAGTATCGGCGTCCGACGAAGCGCACGCAGCGGCAGTAGCAGCATTGAAAGCCGCCGCCGCCCAAGGCTAGCCAAGCGAGAGGGTTCGGTAACCGGAGCTACCAGCGATACAGTTACCCCACTTTTAGAGACGTTAACTAATGTTTTATTTTCTCGTTACACATTTCTGTACTGAACAAGAGACTTCAATAAAAAGCCATACCAGAGCCGTAAAACTTAATGCTCGGCGTTGATGTTTTCCTTTACGTGGGGGATGGAAATTTTCCGGCTGTAACTATTGTAGTTTCGATTCCATTTTTGCAGATTCTAAGCCCGCCAAGTATCAGGATCTTCCCAAGAAAGATGGATACGTCCCTGTCTACATTCGCGTTGGCAATACTCCGTTGGAGCAAATCAACCGTGACCTGGCGGCTGCCTTCCAGGCGGCTAATGCCCGTAGCATTCGAGGAACCATGATTCAGGTTAGTCTGCTAGTTGGGTATTCCAATGAAAATCTCTATTCAAGAGCTTTCTTTTCTTTTTTTCACAGCAACTGAACCGCAATGCCCGTTTCTCATCCGAATCCAGCAGTGCCTCCAGTGAGGAAGCAAACAATATCATTCCAAAGATCCTCAATTTCAACAACCAAAGCTCTTCCGAGTCGAACTCGAACTCGATCGAGTCCAATTCGTCCGAGCAGGTGCACGATTTCGCACCGGCCAAGCCCGCTCCTGTTTCCAACAATGTCGTATAGGCAACGCGGACTCTGTCATCTAGCGTGACTGAAGTGAAACAAAATACTGCCTTCATTGACTTCAAAAGCAGAATGTGATTAACTTCATTACTTTTTTTTTAATGCTACACGTACATCTTCATCAATTGCGTTTTAAGGTCATTATCAACATTTAAAGGTAATATTAAAACAGGCAAAATTGGTAAACACTGCCTGATAAGATAATTTTGGAGGAATAAACGTATACTTTAAGAACACAACTGTTGATGTGTTTTGCTTTGATGACCCATTTTCAAGCCACAAATCTGTGCAAATTCGTAACCGTCTCTGCCTTCAAGAACAAACTCTTCTAGATGCGCCCGTTATCTCATTGAAACTAACGTCACCGAATAGTAAGAAGACCCAACGCTGAAGAAGCAGCTTCTCTTCATTATAAAAATATTAAAATTTAACGTCCGGCACAGCAGCTTCATCACTACGTTCTGGTAGCTTCTCCCGTCAAGACGTTTATTCTATTTTCGTTCGTTTGACTCGTCCAATTAAAATGGAAATTATAGCAAGAACCCTCCGCGTGGTACTTCTACTGTTGGTGGCATCTATTCTGGTCGCAAAAATCGGTAAGTCCAACTAGGCGCTCGTCTGTTCAAGTTTCATTGAAGCATATTTTCTCGATTTCCTCTCGGCACCATAAGAATGCGCCCCATCCCAGCGCACTCGTAATGACGAAACGGCCCAGTATCTCAACAGGAATGAACTTCTTCGGGTAAGGGTCTTGTCGACCGTAATATGAAGTGTGGAATTCGCTAAAGTGGATGCTGTTGTGTTTGCCCTTTTCGTCCCGAATTTATAGCTTTTTCAAGAGGATGCTCACTGGGCATCGTCTAGTGACAGCAACGGCAAAAGTTCGGAGGAATTGAGAAGCCGGTATCAACCCATGCCGTACAGTCCGGTGCATCAGAATAGTTTGAACGACATAGCCGGAGGACCACCAGGTGGAAATAATGCCAATAACAATATTTTGGTGCCCCAGCCTTATTAACCAACTATCGGATCTACTTAATCGATGAATGAATTATTAAAATTTCATAACGGATGAAAGCGGTAATTGTTTTGAGTTGGATAAAAATAAAAATATGTGAACAATGGAACAATACGGAGGATTCCAGACACAATAAATATGACATGACATGTCCAGGATTTTCTAACCAATTTCAGTACTGTTCACAAGATTACTAGGGAAAGAAGTCCCACGTCTTAAACTAAAAACATATTTAAGTGGTTTCAATAATCTTTATTTCATAACTACGAAAATCCTAAATTATAACGACACAACTTAACTAACAATAACTGTAAGTATATAACTACACACTTAGAAAAATGAATGTAAATTTAGGTGCTCTGACACTGACATATACGAGCGTCAATTTTAAAATAAAATTGAGTCATAATCGACGCGGAATTCACCTCAATCAAACGTACTTTCGAACTTTTCAGTTTCGGAGCACTTAATTTTACATGACATGTTTGTTTACGTATCATCCTTTATTTCAAAGATGGATTCCGTCACGTGAAAGATTAGGTATTTCTAAGTGTTGCTTCTCCATTGCAGCTGAAGCAAACCTCCTTAAGTGGCCCAAGAGGCATAATCAGGATCGATCGTATTCGCATGACTGCAACGTCATGCACACCGTACCTCCTGATACACACACATAGCTTAAGGGGAGAAATATATTTGGCCACCTAACTCAGTAGAAAAGAAGTTTTCCAAAGTCACGTTTCTGAGGAATTTCGGGAGTCATGAAAATGGTCATTAGGCCGAATTTTGGGAAGTGATCGTGACCGCTTTGAGAGCTTTCGATGCCTGTACCATTTTTGCATTAGTATAATTATGTGGCAAGAACAATCACACTCTATGCCCAGGGAACTCAAGACATTTTCCAACCAGAAAAAATCCTAGACCGGACAGGGAACCAAATCCAGCCACCTCCAGCATGGTTTTGCTTTGTAGCTGTGCCTTTACCGACTGAGTTAAGGGAGGCCCCTAGGCTTTGACATTTGTTCAGAGTCTTAGACTATGACATTTTTTTCAAAAAATTTTAGCTTATAAAAATCGTTGTGATCCTAATTTTAGCAAAAAATAAACAGAAATGGAAATATTTTCATCAATCTGAGACTAAAAATACAAAAAGTTATATTTTGAAGAAGAAAAATCTAACGTTCCCGAATTTGGTCTGAAAATATTACAAAGCTTTGATACTCAAAAGAATTATCAGGGTTCTAAACTTCTTAGATGTTTATAGAACTCTGCCGAAAATAACCATCGAGTTTTTGGGAAGGCTGTTTCCCTAGTTTAAAGTTGGGTGGGACTAGGGTTCGGTAGTAGAGCTGAAACCGTAACGCCGCACGAAACGGTGATCCACCCACGTTACGAAATTGGTTTCCCGACGTATCGGCAGAGGTAACTGCCATTTTCAGGAAGTATTAATCGTATGTTGTGGTTTTTCAAACTGTAAACTGTCGTTGCAGTTGAATGTTGGTACATTATCCAGATTAGAAAAGTTTAGCTTCCAGAGAAAAAAAAAATCTGAATGTTACTTATGGTGTAATTATTCGTATAGCGGCGTCGGTGGTGTAGTGGTAAGCGTGATCCCAGTCGGCGCCGCCGGGATGTTCTGAGGCATAACATCTCTGATCACGGGAAGTAAAGCCGTTGGTCCTAGCTTCGGGCGATCTTGAGGCAAGAATCGATCTAATCGAATCGATTCATTTTTTTTTTTTTAATTATCGGTTCACCGATTTAATCAATCATTTTGAATCGATGTTTTTAATCGATCTTTTGGATCGATTCATTTTTCAAAATGGCACAAAAATGTTTCAAAAATAACGGATCATATGAAAGTTGGTGCAGATTAATGTTCAGTTCAGTCTCAAGTTGATATTACGTTTCATAAGCTATCTTGTTATGACATTTCAATTATAATAGTCATTTAGTGTGATCATTGATATCATTTAGAAATAAATTGTGTAGTACGTACGCAGTAAAAGTTGTGAGTGTAACATACCTACGTGATGAGAATATAGTTAATTACTATGTTGATTTAATTTGACATGTGGAAGTTTTTGCTCAGGATACTTGATTAGGCGAGTGATTTTGAATTAATAGGTTATAATATTTTTTATTTTAATGGGTTATATAATATAATTTGCTCAGGATACTTGATTAGGCGAGTGATTTTGAATTAATAGGTTATAATATTCGTTTTATTGGTATTAAATGAACGATTTTAAAAAACGAAAAATAAACACATGAAACAAAACGATTAGATAGTCGGAGTGTAAAAGCAGGTAAGTACGGAAAGTACTTAATTGAGATATCCCAAATCTCATCCGATGGGCTACAAAATGGTGAGTGACAATCTGGAAGGAGCGATATACCTAGCTCTGGTCCTCACAAGTTCCTACCTCACGCCTCCACGAGTCATATGATCACAAAAGACTGCATGGACACAGCTGGTTGGCGTAGCCTGGGCAATGTTGTCAATCCGACAATAGCAGACTGAGGAGGTGCGACGTGAACACTGGCGCGGTAACCATAGCACGGTGATAGAGGAAATGCTTCGCCAACCCGAGCGTCTGCTCACCATGGAGGTGCGGCTCAAACAGCGTCTGACTGGCATCCAGCGGCTGAATAAGAAATGCTCTTCCCCGGAAGCTGCACCTAAGATGGCAGCCCCATCACGGCGGATAGGAGACCTTAGGCTAACCACCAACTGTCTCTGAAACCTTTACAATTGTTACAGAAACCAACAGAGAAAGACATCGAACTGATTTAAGGGCAACGACTTTTAGCGCAAAACAACGGACACGAATTGGATCATGGAATGCATTGACGTTTGCCCAGCAGGGTAAACTGGCACAACTCGCCAACGAGGCGCGACGCATGAAGCTAGCAATCCTGGGACTGAGTGAAGTTCGTTGGCCAAACTTTGGAGAACACAACTGCCGTCGGGACAGGTACTACTATACTCTGGTATTCGAGGTGAAAACGCTCCCCGCCATCGTGGAGTTGGTCTCCTACTTAGCGTCCAGGCAAGTGCTGCGCTCATCAAGTGGGAGCCTGTAAATGAGAGGATAATCGTAGCCAGATTTAGAACACGGATTCGTAACCTTACCGTAATCCAATGTTATGCGCCAACCGATGCTGCCGAGCTACAGGACAAGGAGAGTTTTTACAGTCAACTGAATGCCGTCGTGGATAAGGTTCCAAAGGGTGACATCAAGATCTACACTGGCGACTTCAATGCGAAGGTCGGCTCCGACAACACGGACTATGAGCGTGTCGTGGGACGCCATGGTCTCGGCGAAATGAGCGAGAACGGTGAGCTGTTTGCAGAATTTTGTGGGAATAACGACATGGTGATCGGAGGCTCACTCTTCCCCCATCGGCCAGTGCACAAAGTCACGTGGGTTTCCCGTGATGGACATACCGAAAATCAGATCGACCACATCTGCATCAGCCAAAAATGAGGACGGAGCCTTCTTGATTTCCGGAATAAACTCAGCGCTGACATCGCGTCTGACCATCACTTTCTGATCGGCGAAATCCGCCTACGCATGGCGCGGATCCAGCGACGGGAGGAGAGACTCGGGCGGCGGTTCAACACACGCCGACTTGAAGACCCAGCGGTAAAAAGGTCTTTTGTTGAAGAACTTGAGACTCGAGCTGCGGACGTTCCAGAAGATGGCAGCGTAGAAGAACAATGGACGGCCATCAAGAATGCCTTTATAGAAACAAGCGAGAATAACTTGGGTGAGCTGCGCACCCAGAGGAAAGAGTGGATCACAGATGAAACCTGGCGGAAGATTGAGGAGCGTAGAGAAGCAAAAGTCGCGATAGACCGGGCGAGAACCAGAGGAGCCAAGAACGAAGCCCGTCAACGGTACTCGGCTCTAAAGGGTGATACGGTCAAAATTTGGTCAATATCAACTTGACGTATTTCTTTCAATTTTGCATTTAAAAAACCTGAACACCCCTCATTTGAAGGTGTGTGTGTGTAGAATGTTGCTCCTATTTTGATTTTGGAATTCACTCTTCAGTTGTCAAAATGCCGTCCAAGCAAGAAGAGCAGCGTATCAAAATTTTGCTCGCGCATCGCGAAAATCCGAGCTACTCGCACGCAAAGTTGGCAAAATCGCTAAAAGTTGCCAAATCAACCGTTACAAATGTAATTAAAGTCTTTGGGGAACGTTTGTCAACAGCC